AACTATATCTGTGTGTCCAGGTGCCCAGAGTAGGTGGATGTTTGCTTGTTTTCGTCGGATCGTATTTGCCGCTTTTAGACATCGGAGTTGCCAATGCTGTCCTGGGTTATCTGATAGGTTTTTAAGCCTGTAGATTGCTGCTTGGTTATCTGCGTAGACCTCAAATTCCTGGTCGGTTGTAGCGTTCTTTGCTGCGTATTCGAATGCTCGTGTGATCCCTTCTAGTTCGCCGTTGTAGACTAGCTGGTATTGTCCGATATTAACTGTTTCTGAGTAGATTTCTTGCTGAGTTGAGTTGTAGACTGCTATCCCAACTCCTATTCCTTTTCCTTCTTGTGTTTGCGAGGCGTCTGAGTATATTGTCGTGTAATTGTCTAGCCTTGTTTTAATGTAGGCTTGGTGCGCATTTGCCTCCTCTTCTTTGGATTTTTGAGAGACTGTTACGGTATAGTTTAGAGTATCCCATGGCCTAAACCGGTATGGGATAGTCTGCTCTGTGTCTCTTTTGTTGTTTTTAGGAATTGCGTTAGTAATAGTTTGTAGCTGTCTGTGCTGGTTTGGTTTCTTTGAGCGTTGGAGATTAGTTGATTGGATCCGAGTTATTGCCTTTGCAATTGGATGGGTGTTGGCTAGCAGGTTTGCTCTGCTTGCGTAGTTCCGGATAGTTGAGTTAAGCCTAATTGTTGGTGGTAGTAGGCTCGCTTCGAGGCTTGTAGGCAGACTCTCCAAAAAGCAAGTTGACTTGGATTACTTGCTTGACTTGCTTGGTTTAAACCAAGCAAGCAAGTCAAGTAAGAGCTGGGCAGCTAAGCAAGCAAGTCAAGTCAAGATACTTTGCTTGCTTGGCTTACTTGGTTTACTTGGTTGTTTTAGCGTTACTGTGATGAGGGTGCTAAAACTGCTGTACGGTAGATGTCGCGATGGTTTTGAAGTGTTGCAGTTGCCTCGGTTGAGTCCCAAACAGGCTAAGCGGCTATCAAATAACGTTAGCCTTAGTCTAGCGCATTGCTCCAATCTCGACGTACGCCTGTCTAGAAGCCTATCGCAATGCAGTATCCCCTATAGCAACGCGTTTTCCAGTGATTTATACTGCCCTGATACCCCCAATATGGCCAAACGTCGCCTACCACAAACTTCTGCTCGGAGCAAACGTACGAAAGTAGCCGCTGCCACCAACAACGTCGCCTCAACTCCTGAGGCTTCACCTGAGCCTGCATCTAAGCCTGCATCTAAGCCTAGACCTCAGCGTCGATCACCTCGCAAAACCCTAGCTGCCGCAAGCCAGGCTAACGCCTCGCCGCCAATACCTACCTTCGAGTTGCAGTTCTTAGAGTCGCAGGCGGAGGCTGAGATTGTCGCGCCCACCGAGGGCAGCCGAGCTGGCACGGTGGCTACAACTGAGGCTGGAGAGGGTGGTCAGGATGAGACAAACAGCGCACTAGTTGAGAACTTTGACGGCATTGACTGGGCACGTTTACCTGATTTTATCAAGCCATTGGCGCGTTCTAAGCGCCCAAAAAGTTGGATCTTTCAGTATGGCTACCGCGTTGTTGAGCGCCATGCTACATCTCGAATCTGGTTTGTGTGCAAGTACTGCCATGTACACAAAACTATCGACGCTGGCCGTGGTGGTTTGTTTAACATTACTCAGGCTACAACCTCAGCAGCCACCCATCTCAGCCAACCAAAGCCTGGCCACAACCTTACGAAAGATGGCCCAAAGTTAGCGCAGAGAGCTCGAGGCCAGCTGTCGTTGCGGCAAGCTTTTGACGCTGGTTTAGACGTACAACAAAACACTGCTAACGCGTTTGGAAACTTCGACGTAGAGGGCTTTCGAACAGCCACTGTCATGTGGCTTGTTAACCGAAACCACCCGCTCAGCGAACTTACGACGCCTGATTTTAGAGAGATGATGAGATTTGCCAACCCAGAGGCAGAGGCAGCGTTGTGGGTAAGTAATACCAGCGTTTCTACCTTTGTGATGAGGTTGTTTCGGTCTATACGACCGCAAGTTATCGACACCCTGTCAGGCTCAGTAAGCAAAATACACGTAAGCTTTGATGGCTGGACAACAAAGGGTGGTAAACGTGGCTTCTTTGGAGTAGTCGCTCACTTTGCCGACGCAGCTGGAATAATACGAGACTTACCAATCGATCTGCCTGAGCTCGCTGGCGCCCACACCGGTGAGGCTATTGCCAAAGCTATCTCGACGACGCTCTCAGCATACGGAATAACAAGCGACCGATTAGGCTATTTTGTACTCGACAACGCTACCAACAACGACACTGCGATCGCCGCGCTCGCGCGCGAGTACGAATTTGAGTCCGCTCACCGGCGCCTCCGCTGCAGTTGTCACACGCTTAACCTCATCGGCCAGGCTATTATATTTGGCACCAACAAAGACGCCTACGGCAACACTCAAGAGCAGTACAATACCGAGGAGCAGTATATGCGAGAGTGGCGGAAAGATGGCCCTATTGGAGTGCTAGTTGACGTCATCAACTATATCAAAACGCCGCAACAGTACGAGCTTTTTCGTGGCTACCAGCGCCTTGCCAACAACAACCTGCCTGCTGAAGGGCGTCTCAAAGTACTCGAGCCAGTCAAGCCTGTCGTCACTCGCTGGAACTCATACTATGCTGCTTTTGAGCGCGCTACCAAGCTTCAAGCCGCGTATAACTTGTACGCTGAGCATCATATCAATAGGGTTATCCTTGAAGATGCGCACGCTGCGCAGCGGAATAATAAGCGGCCCGACGCCCCAAACTGGATGAGATCAACTGGGCTCCGAGCTGCTGACTGGGCGGTGATTGCAGAGTACCAGGACTGCTTAGAGCCGCTCAAGTACGCCACAAAACGCCTCGAGGGACGCTCTAAGGATGGCAAATACGGCGCAATCTATGAGGTTATACCCGTTTTTGAGTACGTACTCAGCAAGCTTGAGGCCCGGGCGCGCCCGTTCGAGCACGTCGACTTCAACGCTCATGCCGAGGCTCCAGAGGATCACCTCAACGTCAACCTCCGCGCCGCGTGGAGCAAAGCCAACGACTACTACAACAAGCTCGACGACTCGCCCGCTTACTACGCCGCTGTTTGCCTACACCCGTACTACAAGAACTACTGCGATGTGGCGTGGGCAGACAAAGCTGATTGGCTTACTAGTGCCAACGCGTCGTTCCAACAGCTTTGGGCGGCATACAAACCTCAACGAGCACGCCAGCGGTATACAACTGCGCCGAGTAGCAACAACATAGACGAGGCAATTATTGCTATACTTAGCCGCAACAATGACCGAGAGGCTCCACTTGACGAGTTTGAGCGCTGGAAAACACAAGAGCCGCAGTGGACGCAGGAGCAGTACAACGCAGATGGAAATCCTGTCCAATACTGGATACAACTACTGCCGAAATACCCGCATTTAGCGCAGTTTGCAATCGATATCATGACTATCCCAGCATCAAGCAGCGACTGTGAGCGCCTCTTCAGCAGACTCCGCAACAATCAATCGATCGACATGATTGATTCCTATATAGGTTAAAGAGTTACTTTATTAGGCAGCCTTTAACCTAGATAGGAATCAATCATGCCGATCCGATTGATTGTTGCGGAGTCTGCTCTTCAGTGAGCTTGGCGACCTTCTTGAACCTAAACGACGTGCTCTGGGCAGTGAGCTACTCGCAGCTCTTCAATTAGTAAGGTCATGGGTGCGAGCTGGTTATAAACCGTACAACTGTAGCGAGGCTAAGCTTTCAGATGAGCAGCTTGTAGGAGATTACAACATACTAGAGTGGAACACTGAGTTTTGGTAATTTGTATGTAGCTTAATCTCTTTGTAGTAGTCAAGTAATCCAAGTACTTGCAAGTAATACAAGCAAGTCAAGCAAGTAAAAAAATCACCCCAAGCAAGTCAAGTAAAGCCTATGTTTGAACCAAGCAAGTCAAGTTTAGAGCGGTGACTTGCTTTACTTGCTTGTTGGAAAGTCTGCTTGTAGGGACTGTTGGTGCTGTTCTAAACACTCCTAGAGTTTTTCGACAAGCCAGGTTGTGTAGTGACTGTAGTTTCTTTGTAGCGTAGGGTTGGTTTTGCCAGTATATTTGTGCTCCGTAGTCTGACACGCTAGTTACACATGCTAAGTATAGTTGTCTAATAGCGTGTGTTGATAGGCCGAGTTCAATGTTCGCTAGTCTTCCTAGCCTGTAGAAAGCTTGTCTGGCTTGGCTTACACGTATAGACACATGTGATTTGAATGATAGTCGGTTGTCTAGATAGATACCTAGCCACTTGACAGTGTCTTTGTGTTCTATCCGGTCGTTGTTTGGGAGTATGAGGGCTCTTTCTATCCTCTCCTTCTTAGCGGTGAAGTGGATTAGCTCTGTTTTGGATGTGTCGAAGATAATGTCTAGCTGCTCTCCCTTGGCAAAGAGTGTAGCTATCTCTTTTTGCAGTGCTCTTATGTTTTTCTTTAGAGAGGTTGATGAGGTAGTAAGAGATAGGTCGTCGATATACGATAGTTGAAAGCTTTGTAAGGCTGGGAATAGGTCTCGGATATAGATAAGGAAGAAGATTGGTGATACTGGGCTGCCTTGTGGGATGCCTGCTCTAATCTTGCTAAATTCTTCAATCTTATTATGTCACGGTTTGGTGATGGGACGATGCCTATCTGAGACTAGCGCTGTTTATGGTCACTCACCTACATAAACTTTCCATAGCTTGTACAATACAACCTCAGTCAATCCTCAACTTCTTCCCTATGCGTACGGTTCACCCACTCCAACAGTTATGAGCCCGGCTGCATCCTGATTGTACTCATTTTCCCGATTACCGCGTCCCTCATAGCGCACGATTACTAGGCCCCTCATAGCCGCACGATTACCGCGTCCCTCATAGCGCACGATTACTAGGCCCCTCATAGCCGCACGATTACCCCGCGTCCACCACAGCGCTCGATTACCCCGCGTCCACTATAACGCACGATTGCTACGTCTGTTCTACGCACACAATGGCTACAGGATCAGCAGTAACTCGAGTTACTGTTATCCTTAATACACCAGATGACTGGTTCAACTGGATCTTTCTCTGCAGAGACTTCGCGAAGGATCACAAGATCTGGCAATACGTCAATCCAGATACACCAAAGGAGAGCCTGCCTGACCTAGAGGCTGCCAATCCTAAGCCTCAGCTCACCGACTATAAGGCTAGAGCTTCTAAGCTCTCTGATCTATCCACTGAGGATCGTGATTCCTACCGATGGGAGGTTGAACAATGGAGACTCGACGAGATCACGCTGCAGAAACAAGAGAGAGCTCTGGTGCAGCTAAATACAGAGATCACTAGGTCTATCGCCACGCGTCATCTCTACCTAATACAGGATCTCCCTACTGTGTACGATCGACTTGTCGCTCTCAAGAAGCAATTCTGTCCTTCTACAGCCGATCGGAGTCGCGACTTAATAGCAAGATACACCAATCTGAAGACCGCTCCACGCAACCTAAAGAAACTCGATGAATGGATGGCTGACTGGATACACATCACTTCTCAATGCCAATCGATCAACCTACCAGAGACAACTAGCTACAGGCCTCAGGAGGATTTCTTGATTGCCTGCCAAGCTCACTATCCAAACTACGCTACTACCTGCCTCGATCAGATATACGAACACGAGATAAACGGTACAAATCTACTCAGCTTGCCCGCCTACGTCGAAAAGATGACGAAGTACATCCGCCGAGCTGCCCAGACCACTGCCACTGAGTCAAGTGTGCTATCTACCTCAGCTGCTAAGCTTGGGATTGCAAACCTACCTTGTGTTTGTGGGTTGTCACACGCTTTACCCGACTGCTGGATACTCAATCCACTTCACCCAGGTCGACCAAAAGACTGGACACCAGCACCTATTGGAGTCCGCAAGGTTGAACAAGCTCAAAAGGATCCTAAGATTTCGAAGCAAATAAAGGACGCCCTAAATGAATGGGCTTCACGTCAACAGTATAGAGACAAGATTCAGGTAGATGACGGCCAACCACCTAGTGGTGGTACATCATTCGTGGTTCATCTGCTGGATACAGGTCAGTTATCACCAACTCACTGACTTGGTGACAACTGGGGGGTGTGTCACGGTTTGGTGATGGGACGATGCCTATCTGAGACTAGCGCTGTTTATGGTCACTCACCTACATAAACTTTCCATAGCTTGTACAATACAACCTCAGTCAATCCTCAACTTCTTCCCTATGCGTACGGTTCACCCACTCCAACATATTATCGAATGCTAGTCTTAGGGTCCTGTTGGAGAGAAAGGATTTCGCCCAGCAAATTAAGCTAATTGGGAGTCCAAGTTTCTTAAGTCGGTCTAGAAATTGGTTGTGTATGACGTGGTCAAAAGCTCCTTTGACGTCCACGAACACTGTGGAAGTAATTTGGCCTTGCTGTTTTTTGTGTTGAATCTGGTCTACTAGGAGGAGAGCGGCGTCTATTGCAGATTTCTTGTTTCTACCTCCAATTTGTGAGGGGTGTAGGAGGTTTGTGGTTTCTGCTAGACTAGCTAGTCTTTTGGCGATAATTCTCTCTAGTACCTTCCCTAGGCTGTTTAAGAGAGTAATTACTCTATAAGCTTTCGGGAGAGAGTAGTCTAGTTTGGATGGTTTTTTGAGAATTGCTCCTGTAGCTGCTTTCCAGCACCGAGGGTGGTATCCGTAATTAAACAAGATTGAGTAGGCGATGAAGAGGATCTCTGGGTTGAACTTAAACGTAGCGGTTATAATATCTTGAGTAATGGCGTCAGGCCCTGGTGTACTACTTTTAACTTTACTAGAACAGGCTTGTTCTAGCTCAGAAATTGATAGTTGCGGCCAGTCCCAAATGCTCTCTTGATAGTTTAGAAAGCTTGGTAGTTCTGCTGTTGGAGGAGGAGGGAAAAGTGCTTTTCTAAAGGCCTTGCACTTTCCTTTGAATGTTTTCTCTAGTATCTCTCCATGGATAGGTGGGATCTTTTCGACCTTTTGATCCTTTGTGTATGCCATAGCTTTGTAGATAGACTGTGGGATCCAACAGGAGAGTCTCAACTACAAAGTCACTGTATCGAAAAAGACCAAAGAAGAAGAAGCAAATGCACACGCAGACTACATCCTATCAAGGAGCGGAGATAACTTCACCGCAATCTGTCAAACTACAAAAAGGCCGACCTTCTTGCAGTGAATGCTTGAAGGTATATATATTTGACAGGCTGACACAATCTACTCAGATGCCTCACAGCACAACGAGGGAATAGGGATCGGCGTAGTAGCGTACAGCTCTACCCACATAGAAACCTTCTCTAAAAAGACTAATATTGGCTGCTCCTAATTAGTCTACAACGGTGAACTAGAAGGGATAGCACAGGCATTCAAACACGCGGCTACAGTTGCAAAAGAAGGCCAAGAGATCCACGTATACGCAGACAACCAAGCAGCAATTCACAGGCTTAACAGCCTATCCGACAAACCAGGACAATAGTGGCTACTAAGATGCATCAGAGCAGCAAAGAAAATAACAACAAAGAAAGCATCCATCTATCTACAATAGGCCCCCGGACACAGGGACGTCAACGGCAACGAAAAAGCTGATACGCTAGCAAAGGCAGCAGCTAAAGAGAGCCTAACAACACCTACCGCAGCCAGTCTAGCCTACTTAGGCACAGAAATCAAGAAAATACAAAAAACAGAACAAATGACGGAGTACAAGAGATACATAGACAGGGCCTACTAGAAACAGAAGCTCCTACTTAAGAATCTACAAGCTCAACACACAAACAACGATTAAAGTCCTAAAGGGAACACTAAGAGAAATCTCGAGCGCGTTCTATTTACTTAAGCTAGGACACGGATACTTCAACTCCTACCTGAAGAGATTCAACAAGAGAGACTGCGACCTATGCATATGCTATAAACCACAAACGCCACAGCATCTACTTATAGAATGCAACCTATAAAAAACACACAGAAATATACTCAAAGAAGCAATACAGCACAGGCCTATTACGCTACTACTTCTCCTCCAAACAAAGACTAGCATTGAAGCTACTATTGTAACGGGCTGAGCCTCGAGTCACATAACTAGGCTGCTAGCCTAGTCGCTTCCCCGGCAACGTGAGGGCCGTGCGCCAACCCAAACAAAGCAGGCTCGCCGCTTGCGTCTTACCTTCTTTCTTCATCTTGACTGTAAATAGCATCTGGACTAGGTAGCTGGAATACAGTTCCTACGGACCGTTCACAACTATAGCTTTTATTGCAAGTACTAGGATTAGCACGAGGAAATGGCAGCCAGGTCAAACCACAGCACAGATAGACACTGTATAAAACTACAACACAACATTTCCTTACCCAAAAGAGCCCGCTGCTACATCTCTTTCTACTCACTATACTGCTCTTTAGCACCTGCGCCAACAGAAGACTAGCTCTGAAATTGGACTACGTAAACTATCCTCTAAATTGTACAAGACCTATAGAAATTCCACAGTAACTAACCTACATAGAACGGCTTAGCCAAAGTCCTACATAGTCACCGTGTCAGATTGTGATGGGTTATCAAAGACGGGGATAATAGTATAATAATATGATTGGGATCGATTGTATTGTTCTGGTCTGATGTCGTGTGTTCTGTTGTCCAACGCTGTTCGATCAGTTGGGTCGCGGTGGATTGTGCGCGCTGACTAATTTAACTGATCCACAGAATCCACAGCTCCGAACACCCGGATTTTGTCCACCACCCAAAATATGCCCATATTCTGACACACCGACTGATACAGGACTCTAATAGAAATATAATAATTGTTGAGAATACAGTCCGTAAGTGACTTGGTGGTATCAAGCGGAGGAGTAGTCACATAATTGGTGACACGTGCAGGTGGATCCTAGCGGGGAGCTTGGACGCAGCTGCACGCAACACGGATCTGCGAACTTGTGGATAGCTCCTTAGTCAATACAATACGAATCGTACCACCACTACCGTTGTGCCTTGGAAGAGCACTCTATTAGGTAGTTATACTACTACTAATAGTGCTAGCTTCTCAATAATAATAATAACAGTTCATTTGAGGGGGTGCCAAGGCTCTCTCGGCTCTGATTGGCTGTTCCCATTGCCCCTTATTATGGCCTCTGACTTCTGTGCACCCTTCTATTTGACAAAATATTCCATCTAGGTGGAAATACTGAGACTTCTGGCAAAAAAAAGCAAAAACATACAACAGCGGGGATTCGCTAGTGGTCACCCACCTAACTACTAATCCGCCGGTACACTGCTTATATATGGCTGAGCGGACGGGAAGCCTAGTTATCTCCCTCGCGACTGCCACAAAAACCCTTAAATTTCCTGTATACGGTAATCTTGGCGGTGCAATTGTCCATGAAGTGGTCCTGAATACGGTATATTAGTTGCTGTTAGTGCGAGGCTGTGCAGTAAGCGCTAAGCCAGAATGACTTCACCTAGCACAAGGTTGAGCACGCTAAATATATTGGCGGCAACCTCGGGACGACCTCGGGATGTAAGCTGCGAGGACGAGTCCATAGGTAGGACTTGTCTAAGCGCCCACGACGAACACGCAGGTGGCCGTAACGCTCCGTCACAACGAAGCAACGAAGACGAGACTACTACCTCTTGGGTTTCTAGGTGCTGATTGGAAATCCGCGATTCGTCCATCCGTCCCACAGTTGACCCAGACAGCATTGCAGAATCTAGAGGAACCTATACCCACCGCTCACACACCAACTTCGTGTTTTTCAGAACACGTAAAACTCCATCAGGAACCGACTAAACCCATCAAAAGAAACAGATTCCAACTACTCCCAAGCCGTGCAGCCGCGTGGTTGTGGAGATACAAGGAGTCAAGCATCCTGAACGCGACGCGTCCGAATCCTGAAAAACAAAACGCACGGTCCACCGCCTATCGATAAGAAAACTACAAAAGAAGAGCTACAAACAAGAATAAGATGCCGCCAGACAGCGACACTATCGCAGTCTATATACCAGCCTCCAGCCCAGATCTAAACTACCAAATAGCTGATGAAATGGAGCTAGAGGGAGAACAAAGCCCCCTAGCTACACCAACTAACCAACCTACCCAACCGATCTCCTTCGAGATCCCAATCCAACTAAACAAGCGACAAGCCAACTTCTCACCAAAGATAGCCTACAGAACTAGGAACCCTTTCCAAAACAATAATGCAGCTAATTATTATTATTATTATTATTCCATTAGAGTCCTTTTTCAGTCAGAGACTATGTGTTACGATCACAGGAAGGAGATCGCAAAGTGGCAGGACAACGTTGAAAGGCGGGGCACGGCAAGTGGGCTTGTGCCACACAGTCACGTGACCTGCCCTCCAGTCTTGGCAAACCCGCCATGGAGGGCACGACCTCCATGGAGGGTGAGGCCTCCATGGACGGCCAGGCCGCGATGGAGGGCACCACACTATATAGCAACACGCAATGTGCCCTTATGGCTCATTGTGTTCAACTTCGATTAGTATTTCCAATACTAGCTTTGATTCTCAACCACCGTATATTACATCAGACTCCGCAACAATCAATCGGATCGGCATGATTGATTCCTATCTAGGTTAAAGGCTGCCTAATGAAGTAATTCTTTAACCTATATAGGAATCAATCATGTCAATCGATTGATTGTTGCGGAGTCTGTATTACATCGATCTACCAATCGTGCTATACACCCCTCGTATTCCTCGCATCACTTATTCCCCGAGAACCAACACCAGATCATCTTCGGACGATCTTCACACTATGACGCTCATCCGTTAGACCTACATCCGGCGCATTAAATGCTCCTCATGATTGCTTACAACCGTTGCGCAAGAACGGACGTAAGGTCATCTTCTTGCCCCTTAAAACGATCCGATTGAGCTACGTGTAGCTCCGTGCGCTATGGGCAGGGAGCGCGCATGAAATGCTTCTTATGATTGCGTACGACCGTTGTGCAAGAACGGACGTAAGGTCATCTTTTTGCCCCTTTAAACGGTCCGATTGAGTTACGTGTAGCTCCGTGCGCTATGGGCAAGGAGCACGAAAAGTAAAAGTATTGTTGGTAGGGCTCTGCACTAAGTGCGAAAAGGAAATAATGTAACTAGGAATGCATTCTGTTCGGTGATGGTTGATTGATTCTTTTGATACATAGGCTGCTATGAAGATATACGCGGGGTTGGTACGAGTCAGACCGAAGTAGGATCGAGGCGGCCTGTTGGGTATCGTAAGGCGACGTGGCCGCGATCGACACTTATGATCCGACAAGTATATAATAAGTATGTATGCTCCTATCCTGCTAACATTGTTTGCATCTCCTACGTGCTACATACCACAAAATTTGTACGACCATCTCCGTTCATACATACGTGTAGCAGCCCTTAAGATGAGGATCGATATCCTACCAATATTCATTCTAGCTTCTCAAGCCCTCGCCTTTTGCTATCGTTATGTTCGGCCTTGCTCTACATTTGTAGTTCCAAACGGAAGAGTAAGCATAATTTATATAAATAGTGCATATTTACTAATATAGTTAGGCTTGCGATCCTTCCGCAGGCACATGTTCAACCCTTGCAAGCAATTATTGCCCAAAACATTATGGTAGCAATTTTTTTTGTAAAGGCGGCTTTTGCGTAAGTATAATTCAAATCGATTACAGTTTAAGTAACTAAGACCTTATAGGATAATTGCAAGGATGGGAAGTGTGGAACATGCTTTCTTCGCTGCTGCGACTCGTAGATGCAACGGCTTGGGCTCTGCCAAGACTTATTCTGGTACAAGTTGGGTACTGCTCTCGCTACCACACTTGTTCATCCCACATTCATATATATAGCTGTCCTCCTTCATAGCTACTCAGACAATGCAATCCCCCTCTTCCTCGATTCTACCGTTACAGAAACGAATCCATCGTGCCGAGACCCTACTGTAATCAGCCCACTTCTCCCACAGCGACGTGGGAGATCGAGGACGTGCTGTGGATAGTATAGAGGTCCATGCCCTCTGCGCTCCGCGATGGACAATTGAGGCTTCAGCATCGGATCGCGCAAGGACTCAAAGAGGTGAAGTCGCGGCGTTGCGGGTATCGCGAAGGGCGGTCCTCGCTGACAAATAGATCGTCTCTGCCAGCAAAGTCTACCGTGCGTGACGGCCCAACGAGCCGGACGGCCCAACGAGCCACCCGAACACCAAAATTGTCAGTGGTGAGGTGAACCCACGTGATTACCTGGTCCCTGCGGCTAGCGCCTTGGCATTCGTATATAGTCTCTCACTCCCATAGTCCCAATACTACATGATTCTCCCCACCTTTGACAGGTTATGAGCCCTCACCCGCTCCCGTAGTCGCTGTTGTTAAAGCCTTGTTATGAGGATAATTGCAGCGACTAGCGCACGCTAATCTCCTCATCTATCTTAAATTTAAACCTTACCTTCGAGAACTTCCGCACAGGGCGCGACAGTCCCTATCGTTAACACGTCACCACTGCGACAGCACCTCGCGCACGGCCCTACGTTACTCCGTCAGCCAGATCGCCCGATTAAATCACGACGCGCGACTCGCCTTCTATCGACTGCAGTGATCCCGACACCACCTCACACAGCGAATGTCCTCTGAGCACAAGTACCAAGTAAAGACTGCTTACGACCTCCGCCCTTACACTAGGTTAAGCAAGTCGCACTGGCTCTGCGGCTCAGCCTACTACTCTCCGCTGCGATCCCGACAGAACCTCGCGTGGACCTTCGTCAACACAGCTTACCGACGTGATCCCATTACGAACTCACGCGCCCTGTAGCGACAGAACCAAAGCCAGAGCTACCGAGCAAGAACCAGAGCCACCGAGCCAGAGCCACCGAGCCAGAGCCACCGAGCCAGAGCCACCGAGCCAGAGCCACCGAGCCAGAACCAAAGCTAGAACCAAAGCTAGAACCAGAGCCCCTACTAGGCACGTCCTTCACAGTCACCAAAAGCCAAGCAGGCCCAATACGAAGAGGCCCCCAGCTGTCTCACGATCACCTCCGCCTCGTCAGGCACATTCCACTGCTCATCTCCTACCTCCGCTGCGATCCCGACAGAACCTCGCGCGGCCTTAAATTAGGTTAAGCAAGTCGCACTAGCTTTGCGGCTCAGCCTATTCCCTACGAGCGACACTACCGGTTAACCGACAGGCCCGACCACTGCTTATCTCCTCTCTGCTGCGATCCCGATAGAGCCTCGCACGCCCTTACACTAGGTTAAGCAAGTCGCACTGGCTCTGCGGCTCAGCCTATTCTCTACAAGCCGCTACAACTTTCAGCACTTAGCAGCTTATACGTCCCCTACCCGACAAACAATCGCTGCGCCGCCTTCTCGTAGAGAGGCATTGAAGAGCGCTAGCCTTCCGTCTCCCCTAGGATTTCCGCCAGAAACAATAGCGCCTACACACGTGTGCCCGCTTGGCTACGACACCGGTTACCTTCTCCTTTGCCTTCTCCTTCACCACTTTGTATTGCATGAGTATACGTCCTTGAGAATCCAAGCACTTCAGCCTCATGCGGGGGGTGTGTCAGTGGTGAGGTGAACCCACGTGATTACCTGGTCCCTGCGGCTAGCGCCTTGGCATTCGTATATAGTCTCTCACTCCCATAGTCCCAATACTACAAGTTTCTCCCCACCTTTGACAAAAATCAACACCTCAACATGAAGTTATTAAGCCACGTACGATAGCTATTATTATAATGTTTCTTAGTGTTAAGTTCTAAAGGCTTTAATTAATATATATAGCTATATATTGAGAAGCTGGCACTATTAGTAGTAGTATGACTACCTAATAGAGCGCTCTCTAAGGCACAACGGTAGTGGTGGTACAGATTCGTATTGTATTGACTAAGGAGCTATTCACACGTTCGTAGATCCGTGTTGCGTGCAGCTGCGTCCAAGCTCCCCGCTAGGACCCACCTGCACGTGTCACCAATCATGTGACTACTCCTCCGCTTGATACCACCAAGTCACTTACGGACTGTATTCTCAACACTATATATATTTTGCTGGCAGCTTGATTGCTCGGCCGTGTCGTGATTGAGATGGTGGTGGGCCTGTTACAGCACCTAGGGCATCACCACCACCCTCACGCTGCGTAGCTACTCTCTTTTTCGAACCTGCCTTGGTAGCTATCTTGAAGCGCCCCCTCTTGCCTCTTTGGGCAGTTTTTTGAGCTTGCTGGAGTCGTTATTGAGTCCTACGAGCTGCCTATCGTGAGGCTCGATCAGCAGCTTCACGAGACTTCTCCTCCTGCCTTATCAATCGAGCTGCTGCTCTCGCTGTACGCCTTGCCTCAACTGCCTTAAGCTTCTCCTGCCTCTTCTCCTCACGCAGGCGAGCTGCTTCAACTTTTTGATATTGTAGTTGCTCCTCCTCGAGCTCTTGTTAGTGCTGGCGATCACGTGCCTCCTTCACCTTCCTTGGGGACCAGAATACAGCCCCACCGTGATAGTCCTCACCTGACTCTAGAGGCAGAGCCTTGCCTCGCTTCCTGCGCTTCTTCTCATTGATGAGAGCCTCCTTAAGTCTCACATTCTCATACTTAGCTAGTACTGATCTGATTGAGAGTCGGTGGATCGTTTAGTTAAGCTGTAAGATCTTTCTCTAGTCTCTATTAGCTACAGCGTAGTCGACTAGCTGCCTAATCTTCCTCTAATCAGAGGCGCTTAAGGCTGAGGAGTCGCTATCGCTCGATTAGCCTAATTGAGCTGGCTAATTAAATCGTTTGAGTATCACCTCTAGCTCGAAAGGTGAGAGGCCAGTCGCCTCAAAGCGGAAATCTGCTCCAATATCATCCAGTTCAAACATGCTGGAAATGATTCTAATTACCCGAATCACCAACAAGCGCGTGCGGACCCCAACCAGAAACTGAAAGAGGTCTTCGGTATCGACAACATTTTCACCAACAAGACCGACAAGAAAAAGTATTTTGTGGAAAAGGTGGAGAAACTGATGTGGAAGGCCATGAAAGCGAACGGTTTTAGGGATGATGGAGACTGGCGCGACCTGCGTAATCAAGCCATCGTCTTCTTCGATGAGTATATGAAGGAGTCTGGTACCGAACTTATCAAGCTTGCCGAGCTCACTCAATTTATCGTCTTGAAGCAGTCCCTCTGCTACCTCTTTGAGGGCGCTCAAGAAGCCCTAGAAAGAAGCAAAACGCAGTTCGACGACGTCAAGTTTATTTGTCGTCGCATTAATGAACTTTGGATCCGGTCCAAGATGACGGAAGCCGAACTAGACGGAGCGAAGGCACCCATATGGAGCGATGAGGAAGACTTTCATGCCGCACTACGCCGAGTGACTGTTAGCAAAAAGACTTTCGACATGCCAGGTATGTTCCCTGAAGATGTACCCGACGACAAGCCTGGAGACACGACAACACTCGATCCGACTAAGCCCACGGAGAACCCGATGAATCTCCTTCTGCCAGTATATGAAACGATGTGGCGAGTCGTCATGCGTTGCTTCTTGGAGATCAAGCACCGCGGTGCGCCCAATAGATCGGATTGGACAGCTATCCTTAGAGGCTACCTCGAAGATCTTGGTGATCTAGCGTGTAGACCAAATGACGCCTTTCACAAGAGCTCCACGACAGCTAGCAGTGTACGGCCAGCTGAGATCGTCAAAGAAGCGTTGCGTCTATACCCTCCCACTCGTCGCGTTCATCGAATGTACTATGACGAGCAGGTCGCTGCAAACATAGAAGAGTGCCACAGGTTCGAAATACTTGGAGGACAAGACCCTCTTACGTTCCGCCCGGAGCGCTGGCAGAACATTTGCACCGCACAACGGCAGGACTTCTATAACAAAGCAGCGCTATCCGCTTCTATTCAGAAAGATTGGTTGAATTACCGGACCGCCAAGGATACCCTCAAAAATGAAGAGGCAAAATTAGGATATATGCCATTTGCGCACTACTGTGCCGCTGATCACCCCAAGACGAAAGAGTTTGCTTCTAAGATGATTGCATTGGTCGTGGCTGTGCTCTGCAATGGGCTCAAGGACGAGTGGGAGTTGGCCGATCCTACGAGCCTGCCATTGACTGGAGTACCTTTGGACTCCGATCGCGCAGCGTACGAGGGTCTGAAGTTGAAGCGTAAGGCTTATTCAATTGGCAATGAGGGAGGTTTTGACTAGACGGGAGGCTCAGCCGGATATTGATGGATTTCCCACGCGGGAAAGAACTAGGAATTTGACTGACTTTTCATATGGTACGTTCTGTGACATCTGTTGCTCGCCTATGTGATTTCTGTAAGTGTACTAGCATGACTGTGTTGAATGTTGATGTAACGGGCTAAGCCTAAGGCACAGTCCGCAACAAGCAAGCCGGCTTGGTAAGGCTTGACCTGCTTTTTGTGGTGTTTTGAGTAGAGGGTAGTGTTAGTGTTCCTCTACTGGTATTTGAGAGGCGTGACTCTTTGGGAATGACTATTCCTATCTTCGTCCGGACTTTCATTGTAGATCCTTCGCTCTCCCAGTCACTCTGATTTTCTGTCACGGTTTGTGGTCTCTGTTTGCTATCTCTTTGCTACAATTTGTTAACTCTCTGTTTGCTACAGTTTGTAGTCTTTCTTTATTCTTAAGCAAACAACTCACCTACATATGCTGTTCGTAACCTCACACAATAGAACCTCAGTTCAATCCTTCAATGCTTCCTGCACACCATACCCTGAAATTCTCATTCAGCATCAAGTTCGCTGTTCTTTCTAGGAAACTGTCTAAAAGAAGTTCTCTCAGCAGCACAAACATGTCCCTCCAGTCTAATGACACACGGGACCTCTTGGACGTTGTCGACAACCTTCGATCACATGGGATCAATCGTTACATTGACTTGCCAGAGATCATTGTATGTGGCGAACAATCTTCTGGCAAAAGCTCAGTCCTTGAAGCGGTATCAGGAGTGAGGTTCCCGAGCAAGGACAATTTATGTACCAGATTCGCGACCGAGTTGATTCTTCGCCGAGGCCCAGTTGCACCCATCAAAATCCGCATCATGCCGGGCTCTCATGAGAACCGCTCAGAAAGTGATCTGGAGAAGTTACAGAATTTTCACGTCTCAGTCTCCGCAGAAGATCTACAACTCGAGGAAATTATCGAATCGGCGAAGGATGCGATGGGAATAGACGATTGTAGTAGAGTCTTCAGCTCGGATATCCTTCGCCTAGAGCTGTCAGGTCCTGAGCAACCGCATCTTACCCTTGTTGATCTACCTGGCTTGTTCCAGGCCGGCAACCGCTCCCAATCAGATGCAGATAGCGAGACGGTCAAGTCTCTTGTACTCTCGTACATGCGTAGTCCACGAAGCATCATTCTTGCTGTTGTGTCCGCCAAGAATGACTTCAACAACCAATCAATCACGAAGTACTCACGCCAGATCGATCCACAGGGGTTGCGTACTCTCGGATTAATTACGAAGCCGGACACGCTGGATGAGGGCTCTGATAGCGAGCGTTTCTATGTCGAGTTGGCACAAAACAAGGACGTTCAGTTCCGATTGGGTTGGCACGTGCTTCGTAACAGGGATTATACCTCTAGGGACTCGTCTACAGAGGTGCGCAACAAAATTGAAGCCCAATTTTTTGCTTCGGGGGTCTGGAAATCACTTCCACCTAACCAAGTTGGAGTTCACAGTTTGAAGTCCAGGCTTAGCAAGATCCTCAAAGACCACATTGTGGCGCAGCTGCCTGATGTGCTTACACAGATCAAAAGCGGAATTCAAGAATGTACAGAGAGACTGGGAAAACTCGGCGCATCGCGAGCTACGGCGCAAGAGCAGCGACGATATCTCTTACAAGTCAGTCAATCCTTCAGTACCCTTGTCAGGGCTGCCATCGATGGGCAATACTCAGACTCTTTCTTCGGCGACGCCTCGACCCTAGAAGGCTACCAAAAGCGTTTGCGAGCTGTGCTTCAGAACACATTCATAGATTTTGCAGAAGATATGCGCAAGAAGGGTCATACGTATACAATCACTGACGGAGATCCTACCACGCTACCTTCTCACATATCTCGTTCAGACTACATCGCAAAAGTTACAAGACTTCTCAAACGTAGCAGAGGCCGGGAGCTGCCAGGAACGTTCGATCCGCTCATCGTTGGGCAACTCTTCCATGAACAACGTGAACCGTGGGCGAAGCTGGTCAATCAATATCTGGAGATTATCCTTCGTGCTGTTTACTTTCTGGCGCACACAGCTCTAGCACACTAGACTCCGCAACAATCAATTCAATCCGGTCACTCTCCTAGACCCACTTACCTATCTAGGTAGGGCTTAAACTCCTATAGGTAACTACTAGGCTTAAAGCGGTAATCAATCAATCCAATCTGAACCTTCTAGGACCCACTTAATTGATTGTTGCGGACTGTGGTCTTGATGCCTGAAAGTGTAGGTAGAGCAGCTTGACCCGTTGGAGGTGATGGGTGTTGGGCTTCAAGGTCAGCTAATCTGTCTGCTGCCTCGTTTCCTTCAATGCCTAGGTGTCCAGGGGCCCATTTGATAGAGACGTCATGAGTCTCCATGGCGCCATGGCACTCCAGGAAGGCCCATTGAGACGTAGGAGGTGCGTCGCCCCTTAGGCACCATATGACTGAGGTGCTGTCTATGCACAGCCATATTCGACGGGTATTAAATTCTGATTGTCTTATAGTGTGCTGGAGGCCTCTCCATGCTCCTACTGCCTCAGCGTCAAAGACGTGCGATGTAGAGCTAAGTGACCCGCGTCCAGTCTGCAGTTGCTTTCTGTTCTGATACACTGCAAAGCCGTAGGTGACCCGCTTCTCTCCACAGATGTCAATGAGCAAGCTGAGCGAGCTCAGCCAATTGGCTTGCTCAGCCAATTGAGCGGAGGCCAGCAGCTCGCTCGGCTCGCTCGGATTGGCTGAAACAGGGCTGTCAGCTCGCTCGGCTTGATGGGCTCAGTCCCGATTAGGAAAGTTATATAGAAACCTTGGTGTTGAGTTTCTCAGCTAATATCCCACTTATGTACACCGTATTTCGCGTCCATCTCCTCATCGCTGATAACCCCCTTTACAGGCACCTCACCACTGCCAAATCCAGCTCTTATCCATCGTCGATCGCACTGTATTGCTGCTAGAAGTTGCGGAGAAATGCTGCGCCGACGGGGCTCGAGGAGGTCACCCAGCTCGCTGAATAAGCGCTCACACTCACAGCTTGAGCCTGGGATTGATAGCATGTCGATAGCAAATTTGCTAAGGCTAGGGTGGCGATCGCGGAGTTCTACCCAGTATTTTATAGGGTCGACGCCCTCGCCAGCGATCGGTTCGCTGCGTTTCCAAGCCTCATATTCATCTTCCTCGTTCTCCGTAAGCCCTGCAGGCTCAATAAAGTTGTTGATAAAGTTGCCGCGATTTCTGGAGCATTAACGCGTGTTCTTTTTGCTGGCATTATAGCAACGGCGAGGTAGATAGTAGCTGCAAATAGAGACGCGTTGATGGAGTATAGATGAGTGTGGTGGGTGATAAGTAGTAAGTGAAGTGTCGCAAAAGGAGAATATTGTTGCCAGGCGGTTAGCCGGAAATTTAGTAGCTTATTTGCTAGAAATATAGCAAAAAAGAGTGTATTTTATGTTATAACTAGGTTTCGAACTTACGCACTACACCTAAAAATCATCGTGAGATTGCCCCTCCACCAAGTCCTTCAGCCCCAAGTTTCCAACCGCCCCATCTAACCAAGCTAAGCAAGCTGACTGAGCGAGCGCCTATCCCTAAGCTCGCTCGGCTTGCAAGCGCGCATTGCGCGCTCAGCTCATTCGGCTTGGTCAAAACGTCCAAGCCGAGCGAGCTGAGCGAGCCGGCTCGCTCGTTGACAAGTATGCTTCTCTCCTCCCTTTGTATACTGTTCAGAGCCGTCTGAGAAGATAGTCACGTCTAGTGGTGGGAGCTGGGCCCACCATATATTAAAGGCCTTAGCTGCAGCCTTCTTGTCTATGCCGAGCGTTGGGTCAATTCGGCAGCCCGTTGAGTAGTGAGGGGCTGTAAGTGTGGTCCTAAGGATCTCTGGTAGAAGAGATGCCATCTGTTGGACTTTTGTCTTAACTCGCTGTGGTTGTCCTGTTTTTACGCCCCTGTTTACTGTATGTACTAGTGTGCGCCTAGTAAGAGGATGGTCTGCATCTATAGTGCGCAAGTGGGTTGCAAATCTAAGTTTAGCTTCCTCTAGTGCCGCCGCTGCAGATAGTAGTCCGGCGTCTCGGAAGAGTACAGCTGTAGGGGTTGTTTTCCACGCTGGTAGAATGCCCCTTGCTGCTATAGCCAGTGTCTTGTCTATAGCAGCTACGTGCCATCCAACATAAGCGCTGACCTCTTGTGGCCTTCCAGGTTTGAGTGTATGTGGCTGCTTAGTGCGGCCTCTGTACCAGCATTCAGTCCCATACAGGAGCGACGGGTATACACAGGCGATAGTGGCCTTGCGGAGGGAGCTAGCTGGTGGCCCATAGGTGGTTCTGGCCAAGCTGCGAATATGATGGGCTACCCTAGCAGCTTTTGCAGTGCGTGTGGCTACGTGTCGTCTAAAGGTAAGTCTGCGGTCAAACCACACTCCTAACCAACGCAGAGCTGGCTGGCTGTGCTCTCCTCCTGGGAGAATAGGGTGGATCGTGAGCTGCTCATCTACAACACATGATGGTGCATAGCTGCTCCGCTGTCTAGTTAGGTGTATCATTTCCTGCTTTTCTGGGGCAAATGGCATCCATCGGCCAGATCCCAGTGGCTTCGAAGGCCTTCAATATGAGGCTCTCTGTGAAGGAGGATATCCAGGCGCTCCAGAAGAGCGGGAAGAAGTCCCCTTTCTTGATTGGAACAAGGCCTTGAGCCTTATGGAGATGGTTAGTGAGCTCGTTAGAGTAGGCTTGAGAGAGTGGCTTGAACAGCACTACATCAAGCGGCTGGAGCGTGTGAGTTGAATGGGGGGCACAGTCCGCAACAATCAATTAAGTGGGTCCTAGAAGGTTCAGATTGGATTGATTGATTACCGCTTTAAGCCTAGTAGTTACCTATAGGAGTTTAAGCCCTACCTAGATAGGTAAGTGGGTCTAGGAGAGTGACCGGATTGAATTGATTGTTGCGGAGTCTAATGGGGGGGGAGGATCATGAGGAGAATCCTGTGGCGATCACAGTAGTCGATAAACTCCATCGTGACATGAGATCCATGGCCATCAAGGATGAGTAATCGCCATCTCCCTGATCGCTGCTTTGTATAGCGATCAAACACCTGCTCCAGCCAAGCTAGGCCTACGTCATTATTTGACCAGCCTGTTGGAGATGATGAGACAAAGACCTCATGTTCTCCTGCCTTGATATCCTCTACCCAACTTGATCGTATAGCTCCATTTTTAGCTGCGTAGATAAGGGCTGGAGGCAGCGAGCTCCCATCAGCGCAGCAGCAGGCCAGGACTGTCAGAAACTCGCGTGATCCATCCTGGAGAGATGCTCGAACCTCCTTCTTCTCCCATTGACGCCTGCTGAATATCCTCTTGCTTCTGCCTATTAAGCCAATTAAGAAGCCCTTCTCATCCATATTGTATATATCTCGAGCCTCAAGGTGATATTCGGTGATCTTTCGATGCAGCAGCTCGAAGTAGAGTCTATACTTTGACTCAGAATCAGCCAGGTGGCGCGTACGATCCATGGCGCTGGTCCACTTTGAGATGAGATGGATCTCGTGTCGGTTAATGAAGCGAGTAACCCAGCTCTCGCTGAGCTGCTGATGGGCTACTTCTGATGAGAAATTCCTGATCATCTCTCGTGTAGGAGGAATGCCTCGCTTTGTGAGCTTTTCGATATATCTCACAAGCTCTAGCTCTTGTTGTGGGTTGAGTTTCTGCTGGTTGAAGTTCTTGTCTCTTTCTGAGCTTGTCTGGCCCTGGTGCCTTCGGGTCAACGTAGATCTCACAACACCATGCTTAGCAGCAATTTTAGTATACTAGAACTGTTCTCCTGGCTCTAGATTTTCAATATCTTCAATCGCAGCTTGAATTGGGTCC